CCCCCCCCCCGCCCCGCCCCACCCCGCCCTCAGCTCAATGAATGGATCCATGTGCATGCCGATGCAGCCAGCCCCCGCCCGCCCATATCCGCGCCCATTCGTCGGTTCTGTACATCAGCCAGCCAAGAGAGCATAGCAGCGCTAGATAGAGATGGATGGATGGACCAGAGGCAGACAGACAGACAGGCAGGCAGGCAGGCAGCGGTGGGAGAGGGGAAGGCAGGAGAGCCAGAGAGGGAGCGAAGATCGTGCTCACAAAATCGCCCTGCACGCGCGACAGCCTGACAGACAAAACAAGGATCAGAAACGAAACAACGATTCGTATCGATAGGTATGTGTCGTCGTGCGGCAATGTGCTGTGAGAGGTGCCCTCCCTCTGACATATATACTTACATGTGTGTATCGTATCGGCTGCAGTGCCCGAATTACAGGTGCGAATTATGTGCAACAGCCGGCTTGCCGTTGCGGGGGGTTGTGCCGGAGCTGCATGCCACCTGCACACACACGGACGGAGGCAGGCAGGCACCAGAGAGGAAAGATGGAACCATCGAAAAGTGCGGCTCCGACGATCTGCCTGTCTGTCAGTCTGTCAGTCTGTCTGTGTGTGTGTCGTACCTTCGGTACCTTGTGTTGAGTTGTCGTTATACCGGTCAGACTTGACCTTGGTCCTCTGAGTGTAGATCTCTGGTCGGACGATTCACAACACAACACACAGAAGTTAAACCAGATCGGTCCTCGTATCGATATGCCCTGCCCTCGCCGCCTCACTGACCCTGCAGGAGGTCCTCGAAAATGTGTTTGACGTTGAACGACGTCACAGCAGAACTCTCGTAAAACATTAAACCTAACACACACACACACACACGCTCAGCATGCCGTCCCTTCTCGACCTTCTCGCGTCAGTGTGCTTACTTTTGGATTGCGCCCACGCCTGCGCCTGTTCGAATGGAACTTGCCTGAGCGATGGGTCCTTCTCGACGAGGTCGACCTTGTTGCCGACCACCATGACGACAATGTCTGGCTCGGCGTTGTTGCGCAGGTCCTCGAGCCACTTGGTGCAGTTCTGGAAGGTCTGCGCCTTGGTCACGTCATACACCAGCAGCGCACCCACCGCACGGCGGTAGTGCGCACTCGTTATCGCACGATAACGCTCCTGACCAGCTGAACGAACAGAGGAACAGAGAAACAGATGAACAGACACACCAATGAACGCATTGCCATGGACAACAACCACAGGCACACGGAAAGGGTCGCCGGGTGCGCCTGTCTGTCTGTCTGTCTGTCTGTGTCACTGACCCCACTCACTGACCAGTGTCCCATATCTGGGCCTTGACCGTCCCCCCGACGGCCAGCGGGACTGTCCTGGTGGCGAACTCGACCCCTATGGTGGCTGTGGGCGCCTTGGGCAGTGTGCCCTTGATGTACCGCGACAACAGATGCGTCTTGCCTACAGTCGCATCGCCTACCAATATGACTATGCAGTGGCAAACACACCACACACAGCACACACACAGAGAGGGAATACCATCAGTGCGCAGACATGTGTTGTCTGAGTGATAAGATGAAGGGGATCTGGCCTGCAGTGTGTGGTGCGCCCTCTCTGCCTTCCTGCGTCGCTTACTCTTGTATAGGTGGTCATATTCGTCCTGACCCGCCATCCCGCAAAAAAGCCGCACCGAACAGCACGGCCGCTACGACCCCGGTTCAGGGTTCAGGTTGTGTGTAGAGGTACGCCACTGTTGCTCTTGGCTCACACAACCTTCGCCTGTTTCCCTCCTCACCAATGCGAGCCTAACCCTGAACTCTACAAAACCTTGTGCGAGTGAATAGAACATAGCTGTGAGTTATCCGCAGCCCGACTTCACCGTTTCCCCACCGACAAGGCTCCCTTCCGGCTGCCCATGCACCTGACGTCCATCCTCCGCACAGCTCGGCTGCTGGAGACTGTCCTGGTCAAGTCTGGCGTCTGCGGCAGAGAGGAAGCCACTTACCTCCTGCACAAGGGCAAAGTCGCCGTCAATCGCAAGTAGGCACTCACTGGGTGGGTGCCGTCTAGAGAGTGACATGACGCATCAATCTCGCTGTGTGGCACTTCGTGTGCTTTTGCGCTGCAGCATTGTGTACCAGAACAAATGGATAGACGACGAGAAGGTGAGGAGATCCCAGACAGACACATCTTCATATGTGTTGTAGACCTGACTGTCTGTATGCTGACCGCGGTGTGGTGTGGTGTGGTTGATGTAGGACGCCATCAGCCTGCAGGGGTACCCTCTCGACATGCTGCGGAACGTGACTTTCATCCTGCACAAGCCCCAGGGCTACGTCTGCCACAACGTCGACTTCATGCGGCGGCCCTCCATCCGCGACCTCCTCCCCTCGCCCTTCCTCCACGTCCACCCCGTGTGCAGACTCGGACCAGCCGCCTCGGGGCTGATGCTGCTCAGGTGAGTGAGGCGTACACAGACACACACACACACACACACGCATTGGATCGATCACCTCTCCTCTGCTGATGTTGTGATTGATGTGTGTGCACATCCATCCATCAGCAATGACAAGAAGCTGCAGTCGGTGCTGGAGGGCCCCTCGCCCGAGGCACCCGCCAGCCCAGCGCACAACCCGTTTGTGCGCGACTTCAAGCGGCGACACCTCGACGAACACGTGCGGGCGGCGGACTTTGGACCGACTGATGGCCACACAGCAACGCCCTCACTGCCGTCCTCCCCTCCCTGCTCGGTGCCCTTCTGGTGGCGGGTGACACCGAAGCAGCCCATGACCTACGCACAGGCGAAGCGACTCAAGGATGGCGTGAAGCTCTTATGGGCGGACCAACCCACCAGGTGAGGTGAACGAACAAGAAGGAAGCTAAATCGTTGGTCAGTCTGGTGATGCTCTCTCTCTCTGTCTCTCTGTGCTGTGCGGCTGTGTGTATGCAGGCCGCCGGTCAAGACGGCAGCAGAGGTGTGGTGGCCGTCTGACGAGACGCAACAGGACGACCCCGCCCCTACCTCCACCTCCCCCTCCCCCTCCCCTCCAGCAGAGCCGTGGCCCGTCTCACAGGCGTGGCAGGGCGACACAGGCGGTCGCGACTCCCTCATCCCCAACCACGAAGTCGCCTCAGCACGGCTTGGCCGCTTCGCCCACCCATCCCACTGCTCGCGATCCTCACCCTTGGTGCGGGTGAATGGGTTCGACAGCGACCGGGCGGGCTACATAGTGCGGATTCTGTTTGAGGGCATCGGTGTGGACGTCAGGGCCCTCGAGAGGGTTGCGATAGGGCCGCTGACGCTGGCTGACGAGGAGATGAGCGAGCCAGGGACATTGCGGATCCTCAGTGATGAGCAGAAGGACGCACTCCTGGGCAGAGGACGAGAGCAAGCGGCAGAGGAGCCCGGCAGGAAGGAGGAGAGGCTGCAGGAGGGTTTTGCGGTCGATTTCCAGTTTGGTGAGGGCGGCCAGCAGGAGTCATCGCTGGCCCTGCATGGCCATGAGGGCGGTGGCCATGGGGGTGGGGATGACGGGGAGGTGGCTGTGACGGTGGACAGGATGATGCGAATTCGTCACGGGTCGATTGGGGGCGGCGACGGTGAGAGAGCCACTGCTGCGGCAGGGTGAGGGAGGGAGTGACGGGAGGGATCGTTGGGGCAGGCCTGGGGGTGTTTTTATCCTATGCATGTATCGATTTTGCAGTTAGTTGTGTGGGTGCGTGTCCCGGGTGGGTGTGCTTCTTGCAATGGTTCACGTTCAGTGACTAGCCTAACGCTTCGTTGGTGTCTGGTTGGTATGTGTGCGATGAGAGAACGAATGGGCGCGTCTCGACCTTTCTGTCCTGAGCGCTCCTTCCATGTGCTGACATGACATACGGCACATGGTCCCTCCATTTTTCGTCTCGGCCGAGCGCACCATCCATCGCACGTGCCCCTCCTTCCTTGTCCTTCTTTCTTGATGTGTATGTCGCTGCCTGGCGGTTGATTGGATAGGCTGAGGGATGAGAGATTTTTGACTCTGTGTGTGTTCGTGTGTGTGCCGGGATGCCATGAGGGAGGGAGAGTGGCTGAGTTTTTGCGTCGTGTGTGTGTGTGTGTGTGTGTGCGTGTGTCTCGAGTGGGTGGGCTGGTGGGGAATGGACGGACATCAAGATGGAAACATGAGTTTGATGCGTGGGCATGACGCGTGACGGCTGTGTGTATGTGTGTGGGGTGGTGACAATGGAGTCTTTTGGTGTGTGTGTGTGTGTGTGTGTGTGTGAGGGAATGGAGAGATTGGGATAATAAAAGTGTCGCTTGTCGTTCATGCATCCATATCGCCCTCACGTCACATACATAATATATGGACGAAAAAGCCCACACACACAGCTGTGCTGCACATGCACTCCCTCCACGATTGATTCTTCTCGCCCCAATCAATGAGTGTGTTCATCTCTACCAGAGAGGCCGTACTCCATGACGAGAAAGAGACCGTTGAGGAAGGCAAACAGCTCCCCGAGGCTGCTGTAGACGAACGTGTAGGCCGATCCCGCGCTGGGAATGTCGCTGGCGAACTCGGCGTAGGCGAGCGCCGACAGCAGGCAGCCGCCGCAGGCCGTCACAAACGACAAGACGAGGCCCGGCCCAGCCATGCGGCCGCCCTCGCCAGTCACCACAAAGATTCCCGCACCTGCAGCAAGCGGGCAATCAGACCGACGCCCGCATCTGCTATGATCGTCTTCCTCTTCTTGTCGTGTTTGTGGCTGTCGAGGTACCGACAGTGGCCCCGATGCCGAAGAGCACGAGGTCGGCAAAGGTGATGCACTTGCGCAGCTCGACCGGTGATTCTGGTGGGAGTGGCGCGCTGACGGGCAGTTGGTGAGAGGGTGGCTCATCAGCGTCAAGATGGAGCTCCTCGCGGATGAGATGCGATGGCTTGCTACGCATCTGCAGTGAAATGCAGGGCACACAATGGACACACAGACAGAGGGAGAATGAAGAGCGCTGTTGATTCGTGCTCTTTGTCACCATTCGTCGCCATATGTTCTTCTGTTGTCGAGGCTCGGACGTGCTGCCGCCTGTGGTCATCTCCACAGTCCGCGTCGTGAGAAGACAAGGCTCAACCGAGTGACCGCATCCACAAGCAAGATCTCGCCATTCTGCGCAGATCAGGCAGAGAAAAGGATGGAGAAGGCTCAGTGAGGAAGGTCTGCGGCTCACCAAGCATGGCGGGGGAAGAGGCGATTCTTGCGATTTCAAGCTCGCAAGGAAAGCCTCAGCGTGCAAGGATGTGCGGAAGAGGGGAGAGGTTGCGACTGGCCGGTGAGGTGTCAACCGTAGCGAAGAGGACGAACCCCGCCTCCACGCTGTTTGGCTCTCAGCTCTCTCTCCCAACCCTCAGAGCGATGAGAGCGCTCATACAGCGCTCACCCGCCTCAGGCGGCGAGCTCTACTTCCAACTCCAGCAAGACCAGACGAGATTCACCCGATACGTGAAGACGGCTGTGTCGGCGCTGACGGAATACAACCTCAAGATCGAGCGGTACCATGCAATGGTACCGCAGCGCACAGACAAGAGAAGAGGAGAGGATGTAGTGTGCGACGCTGTTTTCTTGACCATTGTCAGGCAAAGCCCTGGCGTCCATGGGGACTGGCGTGCGCCGTGCCATGCGGCCTTCTGTTGCTCCTTACCCTCAGCCTCGCCTTCACCGTGGAGGTTCCCGGTGTCGTGCTAACGATACTGTCCATGATTGCTGTTGCCTCGGGGGGTGGGGCGGGCGCGTTTGTGTGGGGGTACGGTGATGAAGAGAAGGGGGGGGGGGGGGGGGGG